CCTGTTCTGCAACACGGTTTTGCGTGGTAAGCCAACCACGCTTCATGGCGTTATTTGCATAAAGCTGTTGAGACATTTTTTTTTAAAAAAAAAAGTGTTTTGCAATAAAAGAAGGCGATAAATGATTTAAAGAGAAGAAAACGCAAAAAAAATTATGTTAATTTTTATATTGCCGTAGGATATAATCCAAACTATTAGCAATACAATGATTTGCGCCAATTTTTTAATTACTAATTATTTTGTTGGTTAACCAGATACCTGTATAATTATTTCTTAACAATAGTTCATATTATGTTCTTTTTTTTTTTAAAAAAAAAAAAAGTAATGCACATATCCATTGGCACAAGATAGAGTGTTATGTTTCAAGTTTTTGCAAAACCTGATGCACGACGCTGTATCTTGTTTAGCAAAGGAATAATATTGACCCAAGCAAATTATTATAATAAATCAATGCAAGTATGTCGGGAAGATATTATTTAATGCCAAAATTAAATATGCTAACCAAAACGCCTTTTTTTTATATTTGTACCACGGCTTTTTTTTTCAGGGCATCCATCTGCAGTTCATCCATTAACGCATCGCCTGCACCCAAGAAATTGGCCATTGCATCTTCAGAGGTTAGATCAAGTCCTTTATAATGCTTGTCCGCCTTCTCAACATTGCTAAAGCAAAATAACATTTCAAGAGTAGCAATTAGTGCGCTATTCCATGCATTTCAAACATTAAATAATATACAATGTGGCAAAACTTACCGTAAATCGTCATAGCAACTGTCATAAACGCGAAACGGCTTGGGGCCCACCGCCATTGGTGGTTTCAAACCAGGCACAAACAGCCTGAGCGTCGCATGATCTGAATACATGTTGTCCACGGGCGTAATAGAGCAAGCTACACGTGGATTAACGAGAAGCTTATGCGGCACCAGAAAGAGATCTAGGCGCGATACTGGACCTTTATTTGGGTCAGTTCTCGTAAACATTTCATGCTGCGCCTTGACACATTTGCCATTATTGTATACAGCTCGCCCCCGTGTAAAGAAATAATGGACAATGTCCTGTACGCCAATCACATTCTCATAAAATGGAATAACTTTACCAGTCGTTGTCTGCTTGTTCTCCGACTTGAGGTTGCTGTCACCAATAAAAGGAATAACATTGAAGTCACCACCAATTAGCGGCGTCCAGCCCTTGGCCTCGTACACAGCAACGGAATTTGCCAGTTCCTCGTGGAAGTTGGTTGTAATTGTGTCTGATGCATGCAGGCCGTGAACACACACAAGAAGCATCCCCCGTGACGGAATTGTGACAAAAGTGGCACGGCGGCAGCTGGGAAGACATTCCAGCCTGGCCAGCCCAAGATTCTTCTTCGTCATAATGACAGTGTCATAAATCCTTGTTTTGATGTCATCATCATTGCTTGGTGGCGCAGAGAATATGTTGTACGCCGGAAATCGGTTTCCAAGATGGTTCTCTGGGTCGTCAGAGGACGTGAACTCTTGCAGCATTACAATGTCGACTTCACGTTTAAAAATGCCACCATCTGGCTTTAAATCTTTGCCAAGCATAGCAAGTTTTGACATAACAATTGATTCATCCAACATCCCTTCTGCTTTTTCCGTAGCAGGGCGCAGCTGCCGAAGGTTCTGTGAAAGAACGTGCAGATCCGGAATTCTGAGCGGCATGCTAGCATCCCCCGCAGAAGCTTTTGCACGCACTACACGGCTCTTCTGGAGGGCTTCAATGTTAAATTCATCGGTATCCATAACAAAAAAAATTGTCAACAAATAAATGAACTTCTCGGAAAAATAACTAAAGAAAAAACAGCTTTCGTCTCGCCAGATACAACTTTTTTCTACGAATACTTGATATGCTTACAATCATATAGAATCTTGACTTTGATATCAGTGATTATCATCAATAATTTTAATCCAGAAAGGAGCACATGTACTGTCTCCAGCGCTCACCTCCTCAACACAAACATTAACAATGGATGCAGGCTGTCACAAAACGCTCTTGAAATTAATGTGACTGTTTTGTATTAGCCATGCTTTTGGCACTTGGGTGTGGCAGTATTGGACCATGGCATTCATGCAGAATATCAACACAGGCAGCAATACATCTACATCATAATTATACAATGCCAACAGTGATGTGCTTATGCTCATATATTCTGTGAAACAGACAGTACCCAGGTTTTTTTTAAAATAATCAAAAGGTAAAGGGAAGAAGTGGAAAGAGGAAGAGTAAAAATTGTCGATGCTGCACACATATCTCGCTGCAGTCATCAACAGCTGGCAGCTCTTAGGCACCACAATTTTTTATAGCAGTCAGTATCTTTGGCTGCACTGCATGTGTTTTAGAACCCTGTTTCAGGCAGCCGACAATAAGAAGACCATTACCTGGTTCTCTAGTTCATGGTCACCCATGCTATGTCATTTTTTCTTATTTCCACATCGCCATACACAAACGTCTACACGCTGTGCCTCTGCAACACTTTGACAATGAGATAGCGGAAAAAGAGAATCAGAGAAATGTTAATCCAGCAAATCACGGACTGACGGGTGCTGTTTATTAACCATTTTAAAATTCACCAAACATCAGTTGCTCGCTATGGTTCTCCATAGTGTATTACCACAGCTTTCCGCAAGGGAGGTTGCGGGTTCGAAACATACGAGTCAGATGTCTTGTTACCGCAAATTCATCACGCAGCTGGCACACTGCACATATTTTTTGGCTTTTTTTTTTTATTATTTTTTACCAAAATTAGCGTTTAGAAATGCCCTTCAAAATACTTCACTGTAATTTTTAATTTATAAGCTGCATGTATAATTTGGGCTTACTTTTTTATAAACTATAATAATTTAACGTAATAAGCAGTTACACAACATTATTACAACATGTTCAGGTTTTTATTACTCTACAGGATAACACCTCCAGCATCTTCCTCATGGTCATTTTCTGCCAAAAAGTAACTTATTTATTTGGTTTTTGCTAAGCGCAAATGCACACTTTCCAAGGTTCCACTATGTGTAGATTATCAACCAGGCCGCTAGTAGGCACATTGAACTGGGTGCATTTGCCCAATTCAAGCAATACATGCTGAATTATATTATATTACCTGTTACTCAAATTTGGCCATCATTGGGCGTGTATATGGCCATGCTCACATGCCTGGTCTCTCTTTATTCTGATAGAGTATTTTTATGGCTTTGTTAAATATTGATGACACACACATTCATAAAACATTTGATGCCCAGCTTCCTCTTTTTTTACTTCTTTCTGCACTTTTCTTTTGCATACTTTATTTACATATTACTCATGCTGCTTTAGGCACTGCCTCGCTATTTAAAGCTTAGACCTAATGCTAATTTCAACTTTTTTTTACAGAAGCAGCTACATTTCTTGCATTTTTACACTCTTTTTAAATTCTGAAAAAAGAAAAAATTTCTGGTATTTTATAAACATTTTTAAAGTATTTCTGCCCAGGAATACTCCTTTTTTGTATTTTTATATGTTATAATTAAAGTATTTTAAATGTTTTTCTTGTTTATTTAACAAAAAACCATCGGATTCCTAAACTTTAATAGCAAAACTATGCAAACATTTGATTATAATTATTTAAATTTGTATACCAATACTTTTAATTGTCAAGGAATATATCATTTATTTTTGTCTAATAAAAAAACGTTATAAAACAAATACTTGTGTGTATTTGCCTGTTTTTATTTTAAATTGTGGTATATTAAAACAGAACAGAATAAAACTAAACTGGGTTTAAAAATATTAACTTTATATACTATGCTATTTTATTCTAAATTAATTAACAACAAATTATTAAAGTACAATAATTGTATAGTTTTAGATAAAATAAAGTATACATGTGCGTATTCAGTCAATGCTGCAATACATTTTTTCTTATTATTTTTATTTGGCTTGCATCATTATTCTATAGTTTAAGTAAAAGTTTGCATTTAAAAAGTTTAAAACCCAAAACAGGTTACATTTAAAGCATAAAAGTAACCACTATTGGTTTATTAGTAAAATATTTACCAGCATCCATTGCTGCTGGTTGACTTTAGTGTGCATCTTATTATTGTCATGATAATAACTATAAGACTTATGTCTAGTATTTTGCTACCTTAAAAATTATTAACATAGCTTGGAGTAAAAGTAGGCCAGCAGTATCAAACCTGAATATTTAATATTCCCTGATCACAATAAAATGGATACAAAATGCAAGAAAAATTAATACTTATTAAGGAAATAAGTATGAAAATATTGGGCACATTTTTGCTGGATGAGCTAAAACTGTGGGTAACTCTGGAATATTTGTTGAAAACTAGCAATTTCCAAGAAAGTAGCTCTAGGAAAGGGAAAGTTGTTGGAAAGATATTCTCCTTTTTTACCATTGTGGGACAGTGGAGTGGGTAAGGCTGCCCCCTGACTACCCATACCAGTACAGACCCTATGGAGGTCTGTGACCTCGCAACCATTATCTCCGGGAATTAGATTAGGAGAGGGAAAGGGCGCATATGAATGAGGCTGCTTTTCCTTTTACACACACATCACATCAGATCACATTTCTCACCATCTCTTTCTCATCATGTTTCAGTGATTATATTTCCGCATTCCACCCATGATGACACAAACAAACATTTCCGCAGTGACACCCTGACACTACACTTCATAGCGGCAGCAAAACTATAAAAGAGCTTGCTTGGCTGCTATATTTTCTGATATTTTTTCTTTGTGAACTGAAATATACTTTCCTCTTATTTGCTAACAAGCATTTCAACGGTATACTCAGCCTTTCTGCGCACTGTCGCTTAGCGTGCTTCTTCTTTTTCTTTTTACGACTGAAGTCCCAGCGGAACACAACTTTACCAATGAAAGCGCCTTTGTAGCTACCCATTGATGCAAAGCATACTAAATGTTTAAATAGTGACTTATCAATCTAATGATAAAGTATTAGATTCTTAGTCTTAGCTCCACTGATTTAGTGGTGCGATGGCCGAGTGGTCTAAGGCGTCTGGCTTAAGCCCAGATTTTCGAAAGAAATCGTGGGTTCGAACCCCACTCGCACCATTTTTTTTGCAAAATTATATTTGGTAATAAATTTAAGGGGAATTTTCAAAACCCATCCGTTTTAATTTTTAAAAGCTGCATGCATGCATTATGTGGCACATACTTTTTATTTTTCAGCTAAACTAGCATGATACAATGTGTTTTAGTGTGTTGGAATTACAACTATATAATTGGTATTTTTGAATTCTTTACACAATGATGTCTCTACCATCTGTTGTGGTCAGCCACACCTTTACAATGCTTGATGATGCAAAGCTTTGGATAGATACTTATTCCATGGAAAACAATTGTGTGTATTATCCTTATCAAACAAACACAACTCATTTCCTAGCACTTTATTTTGTCCAATCTAATGCAGAAGCCAGACAATACTAATTCAAATATTGTATGCCAATTTATTTACATAGTCAGGAAGTGCTAGAATAATTTATTTCATGTTATTAAATTCAATATGCAGCATTCACAATTTTGTAATACTCATGATGTCCATGAAAATGCTAGAATAATTGTAGCATTTATTAAAAACAAGCTTGCTGACAACATAATTTCATAGCAAAATTAGGCCGAAGATATTAATAAATAAGCTTTGTTGTTTTGGAGTATAGCAGCACCTCAATACCAAAGCATGGTGTGCATCCTTTTTTGCACATCTAGTTGTGCAGTTATAGTTATGCTAATGCTGGTGGTGGTGCTACTGATGTGTTGCGCACAAAGGCACAAGTAGGATATACATGCGAACATAGTTTGATTTGCTGTGTGGAAACCCAACAAATTTACACAACTTGAACATTTGTTGTGCAAATACTCCTTTTATTATAAACTATGTGCTCCTTTACAGAGCATGCCATGCTGATATAAATGGTGAATTGCCAGGCTAATTTTTAGTACCAACTACCACACTATACTTTTTTTTATCACACAGAACAAACTACAACAATACTTTACTATGAGTGGAATTAAAAAAGTTGTAAAGAAGGTTTTTATTGAAACGTATAATATGAATGTTTGCAATGATTGTGGTAAGAAAAAATATGAAAGTAATTCAAAGCAACGTCACACCAGACTAACTAATCACAATAACTGGAAACTGAAAGAGAAATTAGACGTTTTTAAGCTACCAAATTTTTAATGAACCACCTGCTGCATTTTTCGCACTAAATCTGAAAGTGTATAATCCAAAACTTGGATATTCTAGAATTTTCTACCAATTTATTATAAATTTACAATGACAAAAAATAGTATGTGAGGAGTAGTTCAGACCTACAATATTTTCAGATTAGTGCCTAAGACCAATGCCTTATCCACTTGACTATCACACCAGGGCAATTTAATATAAAGCATCTTAAGCATGTTTGCAAGCTGTCTCATGAGTTTATTTTTAATTGTTTAGCACAAAGTGCTTAAATGGGTTACCACAAAGGTGTATTGATTAGTTGGAGCACTTTCATTGTCTGTGAAACATATGTTAATTGATAATTGCTTGATAGAAACAGTAGCCTATTGAACAAAGAATAGAATTCAGTCAGACCTGAACTATTTTATCACAGCAATGATTAATACACTCTTTTTATAGGTATATGGCTTGGAATTTTAGGGAAATGTGCAATATGTTAAATCATGTCTAATTATGGAAACTCATATGTTGCAGGCGTATATTAATCCAAGGTGTGAAGCATTGTTTTTGGCTTTTACCTAACATTTCTAATATAAAAATTTATATTTTCATTAGTCATTAGCATGGTGTCTACTCTAAAAATACTAACTAACCATCTGCTAGTATCTCAAGTGTATTTCCTTGATCAGCTAGATCTGCCTAATGCTGATCATGCATTCAGACCCTTGTGGGTGGAATTTATGCTTGTCAGGTTACAATCCATTCAGTGACAGTGAGCGTGTGTCTTTGTCACCTAACACACATTACTACATGCTTTTTAATTTGAATTAATACTTTACTGTGAGTGGAAATAAAAAAGGTTTGAAGGCACTTTTTTATGAAAAATATATGTGGTATACCTGTCATTTTAATGCAGCTAGGAAGAATTTTAAGGAAAGGCATTCTAAAGAGAAATCACATACAGAGTGGACAGCAGAAGAGAAAGAATAGTTCTGTTGATTAGCTGCTGGCTTTTTAATGAACCACAAGTTGCATTTTATGCACCAATAGTGAAAAGGCTTATACTAAATTTTAAACTTGAATATTATGCAAATTAACTAATTTCTAGCAAATATATAGGGGTGTTTCAAAGTCTCCGTGATTTATTAAAAAAAACATTGAAAAGTTATGGCTGAGTATAATATTTAATACCGCTGAAAAGCACTACCCAACACATGTTTAACCTAACCATTTAACAAAGCAAGCGTGAAAATGTGTCTACGTTGAATTATTGAGTTTTTTTGCCATGCATTTTAGACCATTTTTATACTATTAAATTTGCAACTTCTAAGCTTATTTGTAACCTTAGAAGAAAGTTAAATGCTGCATATTAACAAGAAAGTTAAGTTGTTTAGAGCTACTAAAACTGCAATATTATTGAAGCTTATTCAATTGACAGAAATAAATTTGGAATCTTTTTGCAAAAATTCAGCATACTTTTTTTCATGCAAAGCAAAAATGTCGAATTTTACCGTCTTTTTCCATTTTCTGCCTAATTTTCTTGTGTAAAACCTGATAATTTTATGTAAATAAACAGGCATACATGGCAGCTAACTATTAATAATATATAAATAAGTTGCTCTTTTAAGTCAAGCTCGCCATGCAGCATTTTTATACTGGTGAAAATTATTGCAAATAATCTACCTTATTTATAAAAATCTTCAAATAAAAAATTCTCATTACACGCCTTTTGTACCTAATTGTAAATAAAACTATTATGTCATTAAGAGCAACCTAATTCATATTATGTATAAAGCTTACAAACAAATACGTTACTTACAAACCACAGAAATATTAATCCAAAATCGCTCTAAAAAAAGATGAATTTGAAAAATCAATGGGAAAATTAAGATTAATTTTATCAACAAAATAAAAATTCGAAAATTCGTTTATAAATAACTTTTCACAGAATAAGCAAAAGCCAAAAACGCAGTATTGCTCAGCTCAAGTAGTGTCACCTCTCCACATACTATATACTATTATTCTCCAGTTATTGCTTTGAAAGAAATATATGGGAAATCACGAAGACTTTAAAAAACCCCTATATTATTACAAAAATGATGTGAGTGGGTGTGGGTTTGAATCACCCACAAAAACCCTTCAATGCTTTATAAGGCTGCTGACACGGTGTGTCTACAAGTATGTCTGTTGCCAGTATTCGTGACATATTTTTTTTATAAAATGTAACCGCTTTGGAGTTGCTGCACATGGATTGTTGATATGGCTTTGATATAGCTCTCTGATTTTTAATTTGTCATGTACAAATACGTAATTTTACAGGTCGTTGATTTATTTTTCCGAAAATCGAGCTATTGCGGTTCAGGGGGGAAAAAAGCAACCCTGGATGCCAAGCCTTGAGAAATGAGGGGAGATTGAAAAAAATAACGGCCAGCCCATTTGCACTCTTTCCTCAAAAGCGTTTGTGTGTGTTTTTTCCCCTCTTTTTATTTCAAAGCCAAACTCTAATTAACAAGCCTAAAAAGAAAATGTCAAAGGACGGCGCGCCACCAGCTGGGTTTGCCGATCGCGGGCCGCCACCAGCGTACATGCAACACGGCGGGCAGGCGCCGGCACCGCCCGGATACACTCGAGGCGCCCAGCCAGCACACGCGGGCGGAGCGCAATACAACCACGGCGAGCTGCAGCGCGGGCTGCAATGGGTCAGCGCGTCGAACGGGCACATTCCGCCGAACCCCGTGCAGGGCGGCATCGAGAAGGACGGGACGCCGCTGTTTGTCGGGCGGACGGTGTACAAGGGCGGGCTGCATCCGGCCAAGGTCGGCCACCACTTGGAAAACGGGGGCTGCAACGTGGGCTGGGGCCACAAGGAGGTTGCGGTGAGCGAGTACCAGGTGCTGTGCGGCGACGCGAGCAAGCTGCGGTGGGTCAAGCAGCACGGGCCGCTGGAGATTGCGGGCTTTGTGCCGTTCCCAGCGGGGCACGAGGAGACGGGCGAGCCGCTGTACATTGCAAAGACGCTGCACGACGGCTCGCAGCAGCTGGGCAAGTGCGCGCCGCACATCACAAAGGGCATGTCCTTCCCGTTCGGCCACAAGGAGCGCACAACGGACGACTACATGGTGCTCGCATACGCGGCCTGAAGCGTTGAGGGGCTTTCACCTGCCTTTTGCGATTTTGATTCCCGCATCAGATCCTTTTGGTGGGATCCGGGATTTGCCACATTTCCGCTGCAGCGGAGGCGGGTGAAAGAAATCAAGGGGAGGGGGGAGATTGGCTGTGGTCGGGTGGCCCAATCAGCTGAGACTTTGGGTATTTTTAGCCTGCGCCGCTCAGCTGCAAATGTATTTTGGTCGCAAATCCATCTTTTTTTTCGCTGTTTCTTTTTTTGTCCCATTCTATTTTGCACTCTTTCACCTATTCCTGTACGTCAGAGAAGCTGCTTCTTGCTCTTGTTTCTTTTTCCTCTTCTCTTCAGTGCCCAGAGTGCCCTTTTTTTCCAACTGCTTTCTGTCTATTCTACGCGCAACTTTTTCACTGCTTGGGTTTTTTTTCTCCCGTTCTATAGTTCTCTTGCAAGGAAATAAAATAAACTTTTTTTGCAAAGCTTATTTCAGGGAAGGGGGGTTTCAGTCGAGCTTGTTTTTTTTAGAGAGCTGCGGTTGATTTTTCCATTGGCCTTTTCCAGAGACCCTTGCATAGGTTGAATAAAAAGATGGGACGGAAAAAGATCAAGATCCAAACGATAAAGGACGAGCGCAACCGGCAGGTGACGTTCCTGAAGCGCAAGGCGGGGCTGCTGAAGAAGGCGTACGAGCTGAGCGTGCTGTGCGACAGCGAGATCGCAGTGATAATATTCAGCTCGCAGAACAAGCTCGTGCAGTATGCC